CACCGGGATGCGAACCGGTGACCTTCTGTGAGGCAACGATGCTAACCACTGAGCCACCTTGCAGCCCTGTAAACAGACAGCTATTAAAGGGCTCTGCAGCTACTCTCAGCTGTATGTTGCAGTTTAGCAACAAATCATGCAACTTTATTGTCTTACTTTACTCTTGCCAATCTCATTAAAGTCGTTAAAGACCAAACAGGTTAGCAGCTACCTAATGATCACTCTGTAAATGGAAATCTAGTCCCTATAGACACAGTTTTTACCATGAATATGCTACTAAACATACACGACTAGTAGCCGAGTATCACAAACCCTCACACCCCAAATTCAAACCCATCACAGGACATTTGTTGCCCTTCATCACTTTTCCTCTCCTCTCATTTCTGACTGCTGTGGTTTTAGCTGCGTAGGTTCACGCTCCTGCTTTTTACACATGCAAATGATGTATACATACTAATGCAAATTAATTCGAGTGAGCTGCGTGTGGAGATGCTGCTTAATTAAATGTTGTCTGCACTCACTAATCTGCACGACCCCGACGAGGAACAGAGAGTCAGCAGAAATTAGTTTCTGTATAATTGTCCTGCAGTTTATGTAACAGTCGCTTTTTTTTTTTTCTCTCTCTCTTCTTCTTTCACATAAGACAGACTGCCTCAGATTATTTTTCTTTTTTGGATCACTGCACTCCTTTTAGATCCGGGCCGCGCTTTATCCTTCTCTGCTTGTAATATCTAAAGTCATATCCCGCTTCGCCCAAGGCACGGTTCCAGATATACGACTCCCGTGGAAATAAAACTGAACAAATATCCATAGTTTATTCCTTTATTCGGTTACAAAAGCATGATGACTTCCTTCCAGGACACTTTGGTTAGAAAAAAAAGTTGATTTCTCAAAAGTCGGATTCCTAATAGTTGTATTCTCTTCTAATATATATACTTTTTAAAACTGTGAACCCATTTATTGACCATCGTTTTAAAATTCTTTTTTCAGCGACACCCTTTCCATAGTTTAAAAAAAAAAATCTACAATAATAATTATGTTTCTGGTAAACAAACGGTGATAGATTAGATTGTAAAATTACTGTTGGAAAAAAAAAAGAAAGAAGAAGAAAAGAAAGAAAGAAAAAAAAAAAAAAAAAGGAAAACAACCAAGAAATATTCACATGGTGTTAAATTCCAAGCACTTAAAAAATACCAACAGCTTTTTTTTCTTTTTTTTTTTTTGAAACTGCACCAAAGTAAAAATAAAAACCAAACTGGCTTTAAACAACATTAGCGTCTACGGATTATTCAACATCAGTGTGTGTGTGTGTGTGTTTTACTGTTTCTACTCTTCAAAGCGCCACATTTCCTGGCACCCCTACTCTCCTTTTATAATACAAACACCGAGTGTCCTTCTTTTTTTTTTGCGCTTTTTTTCTCCAAATTTTCTTTTGTACAAATCTTGTTATGGCATATAAAACATACTTCCCCAACGTAAAGCCTCCACTGAAGAGTGCTGTGCCGTAATTAATACATCATCAGCGAAAAAAGAAGACGCGTATGAAGGAGGAAAGGAAAAAGTATTCACGCGGCAGGTAACTAATTCTGGTTACACGGAGGCATGATTTAAAGGAGAACAAACGTTTTCACTGGGGGAAGACGAAAATCCGTTTCTTTTTTTTATATACATAACAGGTGGAGATATGCGTGGTCTCGGTAAAACTCTCGCCGCCCAATTTGCTTGTAAAAGGAATGAGAGGTCATACATTAGATTTGGTACCATCGTCTTTTCTTTTTTAAAAGCAGAAACTCAAGAGTAAAAAAAAAATACACAAGCAGTTATGGAAGATGAGTGCTGCCTTTGTACAGGCCTTTGCTGCGATATGAGAGGTCAGCTGGAGTTCACGGTATCTAAAGCTGACCTCTGGCATCCGACAGCAGGGAAAATCCCATTTCAAGCAACAACTTTCCGGTCACCTTAAAAAAAAAAACTCTCGGACACCGTTGGGCACGTTTGATATCGAGCCGATGATGTTCGGTGCATTTCAAGACGTTTGCTTAAATGACTGTAATTTGTCCTTTTTTTTCCTACAAACTCACTTCCCCCCCCCTCCTATATGTTCTTGAACACCTTCTGACAATACATGGAATATCTGTTCTCTGCGTAGGTGGAGAGAGGAAAAGGTAAGAGGTAAAGATGTTCGTGCTGGCAGAAGGCACATCATGTACCTTTTCCGTAGCTTCCGGCGGTTGAGAAAATCAGTTGTTGGTTTCTCTCCTGCTTTGACAATTTTCACCTGTAAGTCGTAAAAGGATTAAGCTGGCGAGAGGCAATTTTTGTTTGTTTTTGTCAACAAATCTGATGAAAATAGAAAATGAACTGATTGTGTAGTCGAAGCCTGATATACTGCAACTTATTCCTGTGACACTAATTAGCTAAATTACTACCATGAACGCATTTTTCAACAATTTAAGGATATATTTTTGAGCCGATTTTTTTTAAAAGATGCATTCTTCAGTAGTAATTGAGGGAATTTTGGCTGAGTTTGGCTGAGAGGAAATCCAAAAGCCCATCAAAACATGACAACAACATTTAAGGCCAGAAAAAAGGCCCTTTATCTCCTGATTAAAGACTTTATCTGGACTGTATGGGTTGGGTTTACAGACAGTGGTTTTGAATCACTGGCTGCAAATAAACAAAAACGGCTGTTAAATCCTCCAAAGATTTCCTAACCAGCGGTTTTGAAGTTCTCCCAGCTAATTCAAAAATGTGCTCGAAGGTGGAGCGCGAGTGGAGCCACGTCCTGCCCTATGATGGACCCACCTGTCACTGAAAGCAGCGCCTTAATACAATCTAAACAGGTGAGCTGTGTAGAAACTCACCACCTGTGCAGCTGTCATGAAAACTGAAACTAGCTATAGAGCCCAAAACTGGTTTGGCATCAGGCTGTAAAAACGTTTATTTCTGCTGTAAAGTTGAACAATTTAACATGGGAGTCTATGAGGAGCTACTTAATGTTGGAGCCTCTTGTGGCCATTTGAGGAACTGCAGTTTTTGGGCACTTTTGTGTTGGCTTCATTTTCTCAGCCTGGTAGTTTTACTTATCTATCTATTTATTTTTAAGCACAAACAACTCAAAAACTGCCATCACAAAGCTGAATTAGAGAAATACGTGACAACAGCCTCCTCCTGCATCATACAAGTGATAAGAGCACTGACTGAAAATCTATGTAACAGATTGATGAACAAAAAAAACAAAAAAACAATTTTAGACTTCACCAGATGAACCAGCTCATTGATATGTTGTCCTTTAATGGGCCTTACTGACAGGGGGAAAAAATCATGCCAGCTTTATTTATTTTTCTATACTTTTGGTCCTTTAACAAGATCTTTTGACTCAAAATCTCAAAGTTAGCTCAGCTCTTGTGTTCTCCTGTTGGTAAATAATTTAAAAAATACCCTGCAAACTGACAAAATGAGGCAAGAAATGCAATGCACATCACCAATAGCCATTCCCCTAATAAAAGAGCTGAAATGTTTTGGAAATGTTCCTTTAAGGCCTACACGCCAAACCCGGGCTGTCTGCCCTTTGCCATCTCCGCCCTCTACTGTCCAGGGCCTGCCACTCTGATTTCTGTTTACTTGACGTGATCTGAAAGGGAAAAATCCAGAGCCGAGCGGCGCGGTGGATCACCGTAACCTTGACTTCCAATAAACACAGACAATAGCGACTGTAAATCCGTCAGTCGGCGCGTGTGTTTCAATTTCGCTTCCCTTCCTAGCAACAGGCCAGCTTTCCCTTTTTATAGGCCGCACACAATCTGCAGGGGGACATGCCACTCTCAATAAATTGAGAGAGAATAGCTGCACTGCCCATTTCATTAAAACTGAATAAAGCTGAAAATACATCACAGGAGCCAGTGAATTATGCAGCAAGTGCTCTAACAATAGTTTGAGGAATATTTTCTCCGGATTCTATAGAAATTTGTTCATCTTTGCTCTTCGACATGGGCAGCAAAAGAGACTCCTTAGTATATCGATGGATGAATGTCACAACGGTAGAATACAGTGTAAGGTCACTCGGTACTGTACGTAGCCTCTGAATAGCGTGTTTGTGTGGTTTTTTTTTTCTTTCTCGCAGCTCAAGGTGAGCGCTTCCGAATCAGCCCACGCGCTGATTTTGCTGAAACTCTATCTGTTGGCCACACAAATGACCCAGTAGCAACAAGAGTACAGTACGGTGTATGTGCGTGCATTTGTGAGAATGGTCATATGGCACCAAGACAAGGCATGATGTGTTAAATGAGGTGTAGCAGCAATGCATGTTGGTTTTTTTTGTTCGTTTTTTTTTTTTAATAGCCCGGTCAAGCGCTGACTTAAACAGCATCGAACCTTCAGTCCAAGTCAAATCCAATCAGACTACTTTTGACAAAGCTCTTCTACAACAGTGTAAACCATAAACTATCTCATAAAAACTGGCTACGCCACACAGAGCACGTTGTCCTTCCAAAATGGCGTGTAAATGTGAGAGTGAAAGAGAGCGGGAAGGTCCCAAAAAAAAAAAATCAAATCATCGTAGCAGTCACAAGTGTTTGTCCTCCTCTGCCACGTCTGTGCAAAGACACGTTCCGTCAGCCATCAGAAAGCATCTAGGTAGTACAAGGTCAGCAGTGGAGGCGAAGATATTGCACACGCAGACTAACGTCAACAGCTCCATTGAAATGGCACAGCGCAGGCGTCACACTGAAGAATAAAGTTCTTTTTTTTTTGTTGGTTTTTTCCACATAAATGAACACTGTAAAAAATTCAAAAACACGCCCCGGTTTTTCTTTATTGCAGCACATTTCCCTTTTCTTTTTGCGGTATTTCTTTTTCAAACATCCACTCATTTAAAAAAATGTCGCCAGTCTCGTAGTTCATAGTTTGTAAGGAGCGGTTTGAGAGTGCATTTTGGCAGTAAGTTAAGTCTTGTTCAAGTCGGGGCGCGCTGACAGCCAGGAGAACAGATGGGTCAAACCGGACAGCCATGATTTTTGAGGTGAATTAAGAGTCTTGAGCTCTTCTCCTGCCCCACCCTGCCTATCTCCCCTATCGCCGCAAGCACAGTTAGCGTGGTGATCACATGCCAGAGGCACCCAGTCCCATGCTGGCGGTGTGGCTCATACAGGGCAGCGTCTGAACGGTCTTGGGGAAGTCGTGGGTGAGGATTCGTCCGTTCTCGCCGCCGCTCCCGTTGCCACTCATCCTGGTCAGGGTGGAGCAGCGCATGGCGTCGTTGATGGATTGCTGCCAGAAACAAAAGGGATTGCGGTCAGCGTGCGCTAAAGTCAAACAGACACACATGCTTAATAATCTAACCAGAACAGAGAAAAGCTAATGCAACAGTTAAAGCTAGCAGCAGACAGAATTATGAAGCTTAAAAAGGCCTTTCGGCTAAATCTCTCCGGCCTTTATTACAAGAATTTATGCACATAAGAGGCTATTTACGTTTCTATATAAATGTGGTGCTGGCACGCCAAGAAATTGGAGAGCAGAATGAGCTGTTAGGACTCGTAGGGTGCTGCTTTTTACCCTCCTCATCGGGGTCTGAGTGATGTTCGCGGGCGGTAAACCGTGGTGCCGGGCCTCGTGTGCATCAAATGTCCTCATTTGTAGCAGGAGGAGCAGAGCGAAGTGTGGGCAGGAAGGAACGGGAGCTGAGGCTTCACTCATTGGTTTATTAGCTCCATTCTCCAGTCTAGCGCAATAAAAGCCAACGGGCCTCGAAGGCTGACCTAACGATGTGTGGTGCTCGCGCGTGTTTGCGCGCACATGCGTCTCTTCGGCGTCTTCGGCGCCCGTATCCCTCCCCAACCCTATTCTATAGCTGATTAAATTGGGCAAAGCAAGCGCGATCTGGAGCAACCGCTAAGTGCTGCATGGGGATTGGAGATTACACCAGCCTCTAATTGGAACGCTGTTGTTGTTTCTTTCAAGCCAAACAGCATAAAGGTACCGCCGGACTAATAGGCTCCTCGCCAGTCTCATCAGCATACTGATCAGGTGCCTCTTCGTGGGCTGATGAAAACATAAGAGATTGGACCTGCCTTGCTTTTTGTTTTTTTTTTTCTTCCTGCGTACATGACGGGTATATCAGTGCGCCCCTGGGGGCTTTGATGTTGGAAGAATAAATCAAAGGTTGTTTTTTTTTGTTGTAAATTGATCCGCGAAGCAGATGAGTAACACAAATAATAGAAACCTGACGTCTCCCAGCGAAAAGCAACAAGTCTTTACTTTCAGATCCTCTGTACATACAACAAATTGGAGTTTCTACGTTAAAGCAGTGATGGAAGACATGCGAGCCGCACCAGGCCTTGCCTTATGGTATACATATAAACGATGTTCACCACAATGGGCCCTGCGTTTGCCAGACAGTCAGCGAAAAAAAAAAGAGAGGAAGGAGCAGGGGAGAGATTTGCTCAGAGCGACAGAAGTAGATAGATGTACCACTGTGATTCAAATTGCCTTTATACCTGTGCTGCAAAGAGAAATTTCTGACAAGTGTGCTCAAGATTATTGTAATGAGTGTAGTAATGGGATTTAACAAGAGGCCTACGAGAAACACTTTGTAAGCTGAAAGGGAAAAAAAAAAAAGAAAAAAAAGTGTAATGTGTAGTTAACCGCATAATCAAAAGGAAAGCGTAACTCAGAAAATTTGCACATTAAGATGCAAAAATAACAGTCACGTGTGGCGCACCCTTTAGTGACGTGCAGGTGTAGCTTTAAGAGCAAAACAAAATCTAACCTGCAAAGTTCAGAGTGTGAAGAAAACAGGCATAATGGCAATTTCAGAATCAAGTGATTCAACAACACTGCAGGAGATCGGTGACATAAAGACGGAGCGAGGGAGCGGCAGAGGTAGAAAGAGGTACAGGAGAGCACTGCGGTGGAAGCCGTGAGAGGCCCTACTGTGATCACGGTTAGATGGGCGAAGGGGTGGAGGCGGATGTCATCATCAGCATCAGCATCATCATCAACATCATCATCATCATCATCATCATCATGTTTGATCACAGCGTTTCCTACCCCGTGGCTGTGCTCTGCCCTTATATCTTAACAGTGTTGTTGGCGTACAGGCCGTAGCTCTGCAGCTCTGTGTAGGGGGCGCTAGCACCACTGTCTAAGGCTGAGCAGTGAAAGGCCTGAGCGGCTGAGGCGGCAGCGGCTCGCGCGGTGGACACCTTCATTCGGCGCGACTCGGTCCGGGACTTGTAGCAGAACTCCACCAGCGCCACCAGCATGGCCAGGCCCAGGCCTCCGATCAGGATGTAGAAGACTCCCGCCACGTTGCTGAGGCTCAGGGCGCTCGTCTTGTCCTGGAGGGTGGGGGAGGAAGAGGAGGAGGAGGAGGAGGAGCGGGAGGAGGAAGAGCCGAGCAGTGAGGAGGGATAGTGGCAACGGAACAGACAAATGACATTTAGACTTGAGTCGCACACACACATTTAGCTCTGGACAAACATTAGTCTCACAAACATGTAAAAAGGACTTGGCAACACACACACACACACTCAAACTCACACACACTCGCACACATACTTACACATAAGCCCAAGTAATTAGGCACACAAACTACAAGTCAGAACATGAGACCAGAGGACAAGACACACACAACCACACACAAAAACAAAACATTAACAATAAAAAACTGATTTTCGGGGCCTGTTTCACAAAGTAGTCTGCTAGCTTTGGATTTACTTCTACTGATATCATAGAAACAACCCGAATTAAGTGTAGTGACTAATACCAAACCGGGAGTTTTTGTCCAGGCTTGCGACTAAAAACAAATCATCTGTGAGGAAAATCCCTTAAGGATCCAAGCAGGGACAAAATTGCTGAATGTAAAAGTGATTTATATAAAGATTATATGAAAATACTTGAGTTGTCGCACCCAGTCTTTTTGTTTGTGGAACAGGGCTTCAACAGAAAGGAAATGTTGTGAAGGTAGCACTCAAAAGGCAGGTTTAGAGAATGACGCCCCAGAAAAACTACAACCCACTGCAGGGTAATAAGAAAGAACCATCCAATGCAGGCATGTTTACCACGTTACTGAGAAAGGTCCTCTGCTAAATGAATGGGATTTTTTCCAAAAGCTCCAAATTTACAAGTTGTGATGTGACATTTTCAGAAATCAAAGAGGCCGTGGAAGTTCATTTTTTGCTGGATATAATGGAAAACATTGTACTTTTAGTTGTTTTAAGTTGTTTCTCGTAATTTTAGAACGTCTGAGAAACATGTTAATAACTCAGATGGCCTCATCTTTTTTTCATCATGCTTTTCCTAAAACGTGTTAACCGCTGCTAAATGGTTAGCCTCAGTGGCTTCCAGTGACATCCGTGTTGCTGTTGCTTAGCAGCGGTTTTCTCACGACTTAGGGCCGATTGTTACCACTCGAACGGCAAAGTATTTGGCGTGCACGACTTTGTAATGTCATAGTGACAAGCTCATGAGTTCTGTTTGAAGGCAACAAGCGATCAAAACATCATTTAACATGAATACTCGCTCCCTCATAGCTGAGGAGGGTGCACAACACATGGGTGCTAACACCCTGAAAGGCAATTCGCAGGTCGAACCAACATGTCTTCATATGCAACACATCTTTCTTCTGCACGCCTAAAACAAACATTTAAAAAAAAAAGAAAGCCGCCCATGTTTTGGCACGTTTTCTGGCACACTTTGGCACATTTTACCAAAACAAAACTGTATCATAAATAATTTGGCCTCCTCACAAAACAGCGAGCACAGCAGGGAGCTGTGAAATCCATTAATAAAATCTACTCCTGCATGTTAATTGCAATGAAGAGCTTTCTGTGGCTGTTTACATCCGCATTGTTGATTCATTCTCTCACTGCGGGGACAGAGGATGCGAGGCAGCAGCTATGTAAACTGATGACACTATCACAGAAATAAGAAGTGTTCTGTCTGAGCCCTAATGAAGAGCAGCAAGTCGCCCCTTTCATTTAAAAAAGAAAGGATGTCTGCACACTGAAAATTAGCTCCGAGTGATTTATTCAAACCGCATTTTGGTCAAAGCCTTTTTTAAAAAAAATAAAATTTAACAAATTACACCACCGCGGCGCCGCTCTCTATATCAACAGAGGCGACATTAATGAAACATTTTATCGTTCTGTTTTTGTCTTTTATTTATTCATGAGGTATTCTTTCTTCATAGGAGAAGGAACCTATTTATTTTCCCCCCCACACCTTTTCCAGGATACTTGGCATATTAAAATGTCAGCCATAATGTGAAGTGAGCGTACGTTCCATCCACGGCTATTCATATTCCACTTGTGCGCTTATCATTAGCTTCACTTGGCGGCTGGCGTGAAGCCGTTTCTCCTGGTGGGGATCAACAGTTTTACCTCTTCTTTATTAGATTGTAATTGGCTATTTGTTTGAAACCCCGCCTCTTGCACGTTGAAGCGATTTGGCTCCCAGCTTTCTGAGACCAGTTATCCAAAATCATCAATGTTGCATTAGACATAAACCCAGACACCACTTCAGAGGATTCTTGTTTGTCTCGAGCTCACTTTGTGAAACAGGCCCCGGATAGTAGAAACAGACACTGATCTAAACTGCTGAATTTATACATCGCTAAACTTTTTTTTTCTGTATGAATTCAGAACACCCATATACATGTTTTCTCATCATTACTTTTCTGTGAGGGAACAGGTGCAGGTAAACAACACATGCATTCATGCAGCAACAGCACGAACAAGTCTTTAGTTTGACATTGCTTCGTAATATAGGTTTTTTTAATCTCCTATCACCGTGGCACCTACTTACATTTATGCCTATTTATAGTCTGCGGAGAAATGGAGTCATTAAGATTAAGACTGAAATCAGTCAACCTAATAGGTCTAATGAGGACATTATTCTATAAAAATCAGTTTGGGGAATATCCTTTATGCCACTCAAATAGATTAACGCCACGTGGAAAGCTATAGTTCCATTAGGATGGTTAACACTTAATTATGTCTTTGCTTCCATTTTGGCTTCCAGTGATGCAGGATGTCAGTTGGCGTTCTTTAGCCACTAAATAAAATCCAGGCTCTTATTTGTCCATTTACTAAGATAAATGTGTTTTAACTCAAAGAGGAACATTCCATTGAGTCTGTATTTTGTTTAAATATGATGCAGATATGCTAATTTAGTGATAGATTTTAATCAAAATGAGGGCGAGTGTCAAACCAATGTGCTATGAAGGACTAAGAGTGTTGGTTTTTCTTCCACTTCTTCCTCCCGATTGAATTTATTTTTAATATGAAGCTGAATGTGCCAAGCTTCCTAGAGTTAGTTCTAGTGGCCACATCCTGGGGAATGTATTTTTCTGTTAAAAAGAAGATGCTTTTCAGGAAAACAAAAAAAACAAACAACTAAAGAAAAAAGCAGCTAATGAAGTGTCTCACACAGTAAATAAGTGTTCAGCGTAGGGAGTTGGACTTGTTTGAGGGAGTCTACAGGGTTTTTTTTTTTACTTACGAAGAGAAGAAAATTGCAGCAAAATGAAAAGCTTAGATTGTGAAGTGCTGAACAAGAAGACTATATTCACTTTCTTGCTTAAAGTTAGGAAGTTAGAAGAGGAAAGTGAGGCTGAAACCGCTACCAGACTATTTTATGACTACTTCATGGCCAGCGTTAACAAATCAAGTATAACATGTTAATTACTGAGTGCCAAATACAGGTATTTGTCTGTATTTTAATTTTTTTCTCTTTATGTTCAGCGTTTTTCCACAAAATCCCTCCACAAATGTACCTCCTCGCTGTGATCCTTGACATGTAGCTGCATTCACAGCTCTCTGAGAGTATTTTCAGATTGTTTGTACTACGTTCCCCGGAGACTGAATCCTTCATGGCACATGGTTTGACGCCTCTGCACTAAACTGTCAATCAGTGTGAGCAAGGGAAAGGATGGGAACCAAATCTTGACATCTTGACAGGATCAGAAGTCCACGCAGAGGTACATACAGAGGCATCAAAACTAAAGAGCCAAAAGCTTTTTCTTTTTTTGTCAGGGAGAGCTACTCCAGTCGGTAGATAACATAAAGTGGAAATGCATGCGAGTTCGGTGGCATACTTGGTGCGATTTTGGTGGGTCGGTGCTGCAGATCGACAGGCATTCACACATGCACACTCTACGGTGACAGAGTGAGGGCAGGATTGTTAAGGGCCAGGATGCAACGATTGCAGCTCAACAGGTTCAAAGAGCTCAACAATCCAAGGGTCTAATGTCTTCAATCTGGCTCCCTCATGTCCATCTGTGCTCATTCTTTTCCTCAGTTGTGTTCTAACAGTCTGCTTTGCTGAGTGATTCAAATTTAATCTACAGTACAAACACAAGGTCGTCGTAACGCTTTATCTGCCTGCGTGTTCGGAGGGTCGGGCGGTCTGTTTTAGGAGGATCGATTCTGCCTAGATGATAACTGTGGGCGATATGTGTATTACAAATCATTGCAACAATCCTAGCTAATCCACCACACAATATTCATTTACACACTGGTAATGAACAATAAATCTCTGACAACACAAGCTCATCAGTGGGAAGAAACAGACACCAGAGTACCACCAGAGTACTGGCCCAAATATAAGACAGTGTTTCTGGAATTTTTTGTTTAAAAGTGGAGGTCATTTCACAAAATCACAACAGCAGATGTTCCCTTTGAATATTACAATGCAAAGTGAGCTGTATTAAGTGATGCTGGGCGAGAGAGTTTGAGCTGATCCCTCGGTAGATACCTGCCAGCACTGATCATCCTCCCAAAATTGACAGGAAGCCTAGTTTAAAGTGAGAATATGTAACTTTTGAAAAGCTAAACATGGTTGTCTTACTGTCAGATAAAAGCTGCTCAGTTGCAGAGCCACAGAGCGACTTGTGGTGGCCAACGTGGGGAGGTTTTTTAACAGCCACTGGTTGAACTGGCCAACGCTGGCTAAACTGGCCAACGCTGGCTAAACTGGCCAACGCTGGTTATTGTTTCACGGCAGTTTTGGTGGCGAACCAAAGTCTCTCCTGGCAGTAAAATTCACCCAAATCAAAACTGTGTCATGTTTTAGCTAGGGGTGGGTTTAAGCTAAAACAACTATTGGCTTCCCATATGGCAGGAGTCTCTGCACTCAGTGAGATCTGATCTCCTGCTGCACACAATTAGTTTTCCTCCCTGTGATCATTAAAATCCACATCAAACCAACCAAAATATCAGTGTCTTCTTGTTACAGAGTTGTTGTTTTTTTCCCCCTGAAACAGCAGCTAATGTCAGTAGAATTTAACAGAGCAAAGCTCAGATATATATTGTCGTGAACTGACATTAATCAAGCAGTTTGCTGACTTGATGACCTTCCTTGTGCTGCTCTTACGCTACATTCTCGTATTTCCAATTCATCTTTTAATGGACATCAGCTGTTCAATGCGTTACATAGGCTCACTTCAACCTGTAGAAATAATTTTGTATGCACAGGTAAATGCCACAGCAGAAATTAGTTATAAAATATAGTATAAATGTTATATTTTTAAACACCATTTTAACAAATAAGCTTAAATATAACAGCATTGAAAGTGTTAGCAATGCATTCTCTACAGTGGGAGAAATCGAAGCTTGGAGGGAGATGTTTGGATTGATTATCGCATTTTTAAATGTTTCCTTTTAATAAGCCAAAGCCACTTAATCAAATAATTAGTTTTTGTTTGTTTTGTAGACTGACGCATTGATTTTTACATTATTTTATATAATTCAATGCAGCCTGAAGTGAATTTTAGTACATATCTTTCTTAAAACAAAGCAGTTACAGCATCTTAATTTCATCTGTCGTCTTATATTCAGGCCAATACGGTAGTACCACTAGAGCCTCATGGGAGGGGGGGTGTGTGTCTCGGTGTAATAGAGGCTGAGGGCTGGACTTGGGGGGCTGGTCTAGGATCAGGGTTATGCTGGGAGGTGCTGTGAGGTGACAGGTTTGGGTTGGAGACTAACCTTTCTTCCGGAGTCCTTGCTGCCACACTCCCCTTTATCGTACCACCATTTGTTTTTCAGTTTGTCTAAGACGGCTTGCTCATTGAGTTTCAACACCGCTAGGTTTACTGGGATTCTTCCAAACCATAAGGGAATAACATAAATAACATATTATACCATGTTATTTTATGTTATTAATGCAGAAACACAGAGCAGCAAATGCATACATACGCACACATCAATGCTCGGGCTTGCTTACAGGTAAAAACACATCACACACACACACCACACACACACACGCGCACAGATATATAGCACAAACATCATTAGAAACATCAGAGTCAAAGTGATATGCATTAATACTCCATCTAGCTTGGCTGGCTTGCTCCTTGAGGCAGTAGATGTGTATTACTATATCACTTTGGGTAACCGGCACGCTGCTTATCCGCACCTACGCAACAGCCATGTCTCTTTTCTTCAAAGAGAATGTAGACATTTGACATCTAAACCTACAAATAATAACCTACAGGATGTTTTCTATGCCGAGCACGAGCTGGTTTAATGAATCAATTTGAAGTCATTGCTCATTTTGTTAAAGCAAGAGGACGTGATAGAAAAAAAAAAACTTCCCCTCTCTGTGGATTTCAAAATCATCCCCCGCAGGCCAAATCATCACCCCCCTTTGGCACTCCTCCTTTGCTCTTCCCCTCACCGCGGAGGGATTAAGTGTTGCCGGAGCGGTGGCTGCAGCGTGGGTCTGCCGGTTACCCCCCACTCCCCGCCCCCACCGCACCCCCACGTCCCCCAGTGGTGGTGGGTTACCCGCAGGGTTTATCAAACTGGCTCTGACCTTGGAGTCCCCGCCCCCGCTGCCGCACTCTCCCTTGTCGTACCACCACTTGTTTTTCAATTTGTCCAAGAGGCCCTGCTCGTTCAGTTTTAACACTGCCAGGTTTACTGGGTTTCTTGAAAATAATATAAGACGATAAGCCATTAGGAGACACTCTATGGGACAGATATAAAGAGATTGCTCGCATGGTGGTGGTGATTATGGCAACACTGACTTACTGTTAGGAAGTCTCCTGCATAAAGCTACTGATATGAAGCAGGAGCACCGGCTTTAGATGCGCATGTTAGTTGCAGAGCTGCAATGGGCTGAAGTACTGAGCGCCCATACAGTAGTAGAGTCAGGTTTTACCAAGCAGGGGCCTCAGAGAGAGGCAGAGCTGACGCTGGAAACGGAGATGCCTTGGATGCGGAAGTCTTTCTACAGATGGTTATTTCCTTTCAGCTGCACCAGCATACAGATTGCTACGGTAGCTAACCTATCAATATGCAACCCATAACGGCATCCCGCTGAATAGGAGCCTATGTTGATTAATTTATAACTATAAACAAATGCAAACAGAAGCTGCCAGGTTCACTGCCACTGCAAGTTCTTCTCCTAAACAGGCTGAAAGGAAACTGTAGGACCAACTATAGACGGAGTCCTGGACTCATCCAAACCATCTCCACATGAGTTGCTCTGCCTCTCTCTGCTGAGTGTGTGTGTGTATTTCCTATAGCTGACTGGCCGAGGACAAAGACTCTCCCCCCGTCCACAAGTCGCAAGAAAGGCCGAATCTGCAATCAGAATTTGCATGAAAGAAGTAAAGATTGCAGCCTTCGCCGATTATCTTTCCCTTCAAATCAGTGCCAATTCTTCTGTGCGGCAACAATTTGTCGAGGTGACATTCTGCCTTTCTCGCGCAGGCAGACACAGAAGAGCCTTTATCCCCGACCTCGAGTGCACAACACAGCTGTAGGGAACACAGGTTTTCCTCGGGGCCGGTAAAACCTCTGAATTCTTTCTCAGCCCAGCGGACTCAAGACAAAAAGAAAGAAGTCAAAGTGGGTGGACATGGATGGTCTGGAGCCCAGCAGGCCGTTGGTTAGTTTGGTCGGTTGGTTCTAGGTGAGCAGATGTCAGGGGGGGGGAGGTTACTGTATGTTAGTGGGATGTAGGAAACTGTCAGGCAAACATGGGGGGTGGCTGGACATCGTACATGTAAGAAATGAGGCAGAACTTATGCAGAACATTAGAGCCACTGATCAGAAAGTGCTCTCTGAAGACATTCCTGTAAAATGAAGGGTTATGCCATTTAAGTATCTTTTATTTTCAAAGTGCCACTTACAATCAGGCCTGCATTGCAATGTGAGTGGCAATCTCAAAAAGACCGCACGGAAAATATGAATCAAGAAGAAAGACGGTATATAAATATCTACAATTACGTTTAAGACCTGAACTTTAAATTTGGGGGAAAAAAAAGAAAAGGAGCGCTGATATCAGACATCTAATTAGATTTAAACACCGTGAGATAAAAAAAAACCCCAGATCAGTATATCCTTAATATTTAGTGCTCTGTGCAAATTGATTCATTAACAATGCATTGCAAGAATGATTGAAGTCAACCCTTGGAATTCACGGGTCATTCACTCATGTCGATTTCCAGGTGAGCGGCACAATTAAAAGAATTTTGTTTTTTAAGAAAGAAATATGTGAATGATTCAAATCGCCACGCTTTGGCAGGACTCATCCAATTATGAATGTTTGTTATCTGGTAATGAAACTCAGTATCAGACATCTGTGAACGACCACAGGGGCAACCGGAGAATAAAATGCATCGCTCTGCTAATAATTAACACAAAGAGAGGGAGATAATGGGGGCCATCCTCGGCAGGTCAATACTGCAGCCAGCTTGCCTTGTTGCAGGTCTGGACCGATCGGACTACATGACTTGAGAGCAGATTCATTTCACCACTTGTCTTATCACTAATGCAGCGCTTGCTTGATGTATGAAATCCAATTTGTATGAAATTTAAAAAAGGAGCATCCGAGTGGGGCTTACGAAACATTTCTAGTCAGCATTCTGACCTCTGGCTGCCAACCAAGGTGGAACCCCGAATGAATCCTCGGCGAATTTGAATGAAATCTTCCCATATGGCTCCTTTCATTAAAATGAATGAGGCCTATTAGAGATAGATTAAAAGCTTCAGATGCCACCAGCTTCTGCACTCTCTCTGTAGTTGCAGGAGAAATATAAATGGGAAGTTGGTTAAGGTGTTAATGTAATGTGAAATGACAGCTGCTGCTCGAGGAAATCGATGGCAGAAGTACATCAGGAATGAATTATCATTCATTACGTCAATTATCACATCGGATGCTGCAATTACAAATTCAAAGTCTTCTGACTTCACATTCAAAGTGTGAGCCCTGGCTTAAGTGGGAAAGTAGCCATATGGGATGTGACTCTTTAAGTCGTAATCCTGCTTCAGGAGCCCTGTTGGTTTGTGAGCGGCACATTTACATTTTTGTGTTTCCGTGTGAGGCAGATGCTACAGTTTCAAAAGCAGATTGCATGAAACCGTTCACCACAAACGCTCGTACGGAAGTTTTAGATCAGCAGGGGAAACAAGTGTCGCTTAAAGAGGCCGTGACACCTCATGGTCCTACTTTACACTTACGCTAGTGCTCACAAGTCAGGTATGAACAGGCTAGCTGCATACATACATATGCAGACACAGACAAAGATGGTGAAAAGTGGGCATCATCAAGTTGTGAATGTGTGTGATGTGTAAAAATCTGAACAAAAAAAGTAAAAGGTTTGATGATGACTGTGAAATTAACATCATGCAGCTACATCTGGTTCAAATGCATGCAAAGTATGAAGAACAGAATACTGATATGTCGTCTTGTTGTGATTAAAAAGATGCATCTGTAAATCAAAATTTAGCAAAAAAAAAAAGAAAAACGAATCCATCCAAACTCATGAATGTGTTCATACATGAGCAAAAGCTGCAAACACTGAGCTCCATGGACAACTAAACAGATGATGAGGATGACAGATGGAGCTCGCGCACAAGCTCCGATAAAAGCGCTTCAACGCTTTTATCCGGCCACTGCAGCAGCGGCACAGGGTTTACCTGAGAGGGGAGCCCTTGGGCGTGGCGATTCCATAACCTTTAGAGTCCAGGTTCCCTCCCACCTTCATGGTGTCACAGGGTTTCCTCTGCTCTATGTACTCATTCATAGTGGACTCCAGCAGGTAGGCGTACTTCCCCTTGGACTTCCTGACTCTCATTACGCCCTCGTCTGTCGTTTTGACAAACACGGACGGGTCAGCTGCCTTCATGTAGGACCACATCTTCTCAAACACAGCAATCTTCGACCTCTGACAGTCAGAATTGTTAACGAGGAAAGAGATAGAAAAACAGGGAGAGAGACTGTATCAGCTTCAACACTTTATTATCTTCGTTATCGTCTCTGGTAGAATACAATCTTTAATATTTTCATTAGCGAGCCTTTAAAAAAAAACTATTTATGGCCTCTGCAGTAGCTAGTCAGTGTATTTACACGTTTTAATTGTTAACATAGAAGTCTGCCATTCCCATAGGAGAGCCTGTGTATGTACTTCAGCATCAGTACTTTATCTCACTGTCAGTAGCCTCACTGTTTACTGTTTTCTCTCATAACGCTGCAGCAGAACCGCATGCATTCACCCGGGCAGGTCACATAGGTTCACACGATCATTAGTATAACTGTCTCCTCACCCTGAAGAACTCTTTGGTGGAGCCGGCATCCAGCGTTCCATAGGCGATCTCAGTCTGCTTGGCCAGATCCTCGGCGCTCTCTATAGGAGACACCATCCTCTCCACAGTCAGGAAGGCAGCCAGGTTGGCGGTATAGGACGAGATGATGATGAGGGTGAAGAACCACCAGACGCCTCCGACGATGCGGCCCGACAGCGAGCTAAAAACAGAGGAACAGGCAGGTCAGAAGACACAGCGACTGTATCTATATATATATATACACACACACAGACAGAATCATGTCAATGAAGGAAGTAGAAAATTAAATAGCACCAGTCTTTCCCTTCATGGTCAATTTTACACACAATCAAGATGAGGAATCTAAAAACCTTGCGATGTTCACGCCATCCAAGTGACCTACATTGCATCACACTCTGCACACTCTTTGTCCCACCAGGCTTGGAGAGCTTAGCCCAATCTGCTAAGGAAAGATAACCAGTTCCACAAAGGCCCACTCAGCTTCCTGCCTGCCAAATTAATCTCACTTTAAGAAAGTTGCCAATATGTTTCATGGAACCATGCGCATTAATTGTTGGGGATTAATAGGCGGAGGAGAACACTTAGCCACTGCTCTAATTGCACTTTGAGGAAAAAAAAATTAAAAAAATGTAAAAAAAAAAAAAACACAACTGTGAGCCAAATCCCCTGAGTCAAATCCCCGTCTTCCCTCTCTTCACCTCAAGAGAAGCCAGCTCGAACAGCAACAGCGGAAATCATGTTGCGTTACATATCGGTCCCCGACATGCGCCGAGGAACAGAGTGGCAGAGCTTACGCAATGAAAATGACACAAATCTGAAACAAAAAAAGGCTTTCATGATTCACCTTTGTACCGTCAAGCCAAATGGAGCGTGAACATGAAGGCAAGATTAAGTATGGAGAGAGGGGGGGAAAAAAGAAAAAAGGAAAAAAAAAAAAAAAACAGGGAGAAGCTAAAACATAATCATTTAAGATGCTTTTCAGATGACGGGTGGATGATGAAAGAGCAGGGGAGCCAGCCGAGAGCAAACACAGAATGGATGCGGAGCCTTTGAAAAATCAGTCGGGAGAATGCGGAGCTGTCTGCGGGGTGTGTGTGGATGTTTCGACTTGCTCGCTGATCACTGTTCAGTTCATTGTGGCGAAGGTTAAGCTTCGACCATGCGGTGAACAAAGAGACATGTAGGGCTGCAACTAGTGACTCTTCTGTCTTCAAGTTTTTGGTCTAAAAAATGCACCAACATGACGTCCTCAGATGTATTGTTTTCCTCCACAACCCATATTTATTCAGTTTCCAGTCACCAAAGGGCAAATAAACTGGAAAAAAAAATCTAATTTAAAAAGCTGCAATCAGAGAATTTTTACTTCTACAAAATCTCAAACTGAGTTATTAATTTTAGTTGGTGATTAATTCAACAGTTGACAACTAATCCATTAATCAATACAGCTCTAATTCCCAAACACCTCGATGAATATTAAGCATTGGAGCAAACCATTCACAAGCAAGTGGTGCATCAAAAAAAATCTCCATTTCAGCCCTGGGCAGCTATAAAAAAAGTTCTGCACGCTGTCATGTTGCACACACAGCATTTTGATCCTCTAACCTTTAAGGAAGATTCATATAAGAAAAGCGCACCGGTATCACATATTTATGCAAACATTGCCCAAGAAAAACCCCCCATCAGTTATAGGGCAGCAGCACCTGCCAGCATCCATGCATATTACAAGCAGTGAGGTTTATGCATGAATCAAGTGCACGAGTATAAATAAAGAATTCCAAGAACATTTTATTTGAGTGTAGTAGAAATAGAAAAATGGTTAAAAATATGAAAGCAGTTCCTGTTAGTGCAGGAGAGCAAGACCATTCTAAGAGCATAAAAAAAGGGTCACTAACAAGCATTTTCATTATCAAATACTCCACTGATTATATCTTAATTAACCGTTTAACAGTTTGGTCTTTGTTATTCTCAGAAACAAATGCCGGGATCCAAAGTAAAGTCTTCCGACTGCTTGTTTTGCTAACCTCAAAACGGTCTTTTTTCTTTTTTTTGAGGAGTGAAATGATGTAAACAAAGAGCAGAAGTGACACCGTTTGGATTCTTCCTGTAAGAATTCTTAAAAGCGAGAACCTCCGTTTGCTCCCGCTCGTGTTTTATTAATTCTATTCAGTCTTATATATATATATCACTGTTCAAGCTGCCTCTTAATTACTTGACAGTCCTATTGTGGCGGAAAGAAGGAGAGGCTTCTGCGAAAAGAGAAAGAACGTGACATCCCGAGAAACAGCGAAGGGACTCGGGGAAAAGAAAGCAAGAGCGTGTTATGTCAGGCAGAAAGAGTGATACAAGTGGGAGAAAAGGAGGGGAGGAGAGGAGGAGGGGGAAATAAAAGGAGGGAGAGGCAGAAAAATGGCAGAGATGAAAAGTAAACTGGATAGTACCACCAGAGGCAGACAAACTCCTTCGCTTTGACTGCTTCTGGCCTCCAGAGATGGCAGTAAACAGCTGTCTAATCCTTCCCCTTCAGTCGCCCCTATTTTAATTTTTTTTTTAAGTTGTTGTTTTTCCTCTTTCCTCCTGCTCTCCCTTTCTTTCCCCTCCATCCACCTTCCCTTCCCCGTCTCTTCATGTGCTGGAGGGAGGGAGGCGGAGGGCTGACAGGGGTTTGTTGTGGGCCGAGACAACAATAGCCTACACCTTGGCACTGACACCGAGGCATTCAAGTATGCACGCACGCACAACCAGACGCACATAACGCCGCCTTCCTGAGGATTGTGTGTGTGTGTGTGTGTGTGTGTGTACCAGCGAACAACGGGGTCACCGTTTGCTGCGCGACTGGGACGAGGAGAAAGAGGTTGTGTGTTGTTAGTGTGTGAGTGCGTGGGTGTGTGTTGGGTCTCCTGCAGCAGTCCTCCTCCCCAGTTGAAGCGGAGCGACTGGCAAACACAGACCTGTTTGTCTCTGTTTGTTTCCTTTTGAACTGCCTTTCCTTTGAGCCTCCTTTTCTTTTCTTTTTTTTTTCTTCCTCCTCTCCGCTCCTCATGCATTATTGCGCAGCAGCCAACCTTGGTGCGGCGGTAAAACATTAACTAAGCTGTCTTATTACAGTAGGGGAAATCTTCCAAGTAGCACTGTAATTTCATAGTCTTGTTAAGGCAATGATTAATCAATTATTCACTCTGCCTCTTTTATTGCATGGCGAAGGAAAAGGATTGTTAATGGGAGCAGAAAACGGCGCTACCTCGAGAGCGGCGGTGAGGAAATACAATGCAACAGCGCGCGCGTATGTTTAGTGTTGAACAGACTGATCGATTAGTCTACGATGCCGCCATTTATCATGTGAATACACCAAATAATGCCAAAAAACGTCAGCATTGGCCGACCTGTCTCTGTTTTCAGAGAAATAAGAATAAAAAAAAATCACAAAAGTGAATAATTAAAAATGGGAAAAGCTCACAGGGTTTAGGTTGAGTAGCACTCAAATCAATATTAACTCTTAAGAAATCAGATTTCGCTTTAGTTCTTTCTCTGTGAACTTTTGGGGGATTTTGGTGGCTTTTAAGGTGACATGACGGAGACAGAAAGAAGGAATGTAATCCAGGAGCGTACCAGGAAGGCTGAGGCTACACAGCTTCTTAAACCTCTGGCCCAGCAAGACACCCCCAGGTTAGGCTTTACACAAGGCAGCAAAAGTTGTATTTTCTCACTCAGTTTCTTTCTTTCTCTTCCAAAGTTGGAACTGTTTTGGCTGCAGGAGAACTCTGCATTTGTGCTTTGCTGTTTGGCCTAAGTGGAAAATGAGATCGAATACATGCAACAACTCTGAAGCAGGAGTTGATATGAACATTTCATGAACAACTGTTTAAACATGTTTCTCATCCTGAACGGAAAGTGAAAAGTTATGTAAAGGCGACGCACACCGGATGATCTCAGATCTTCATCTTTTGCTACATGGTCTCCACCCACAGCCTCTCTTGGAATCTGCTGTAGCACTAAACTCTCATTAGAATTCCCCTGGCTGGCCTCGTCTTTTTCGATATGGTAATTAGCAATGACTAATGACTTTAGCAAGTGTAAAAAATGAGCCAGTAATGGCCACATTACAATGGATTAGGAATTACAGAGGTTTAAATGAGAAAGAAAATGGTCTCTAATTATGGTGTGATTCTAAGACAAATCAGGGATGGAAAAGAAGTTTTCTGCTACACCGCCTTTTTTTTTTTTTTTTTTTGGATTCTTAAAAATTAGCGAGACAGCTGTATGTTCCCGATGACTGGGCACATCACTCCCAAAATGTCTGGATGGAAGAGATTTATTTTGCGCAGATCAGAAGAAAAGAAGCTGAAGATGAACCTGTGAGCAGCAGACAAACATAAAGAGAGTTATCGACACATAGTGAAAACTTGTGTAATAATAGAATCCTAAGTGTCGGGGAGTATTTGTTATCTAATTGGCTCCTGCTGTGGTGAATTCCCGGAAACTTTGTTAGCAAGAACAGCTCGCTAGATGTGAAAATGATGCTGATAGTTATGAAGAAAAAAAAAAAAACATCACACCAAAGCATTATTTATATCCAGACCACATCAGAGGATTGATCAACGCTGAAGGTAAAGTGGAAGATTTTTCTGAAATATAATGACAACCGAGTCAAGGGTGACTCCATTAGAGGGGCATGTCATGCACAGCTCTATAGTCGTCTTTGCAAACTGTGTGCACACATTATTTGTGTTCTCTTTTGGACGATCTGAAGGTTTTTTAAAAAGGCCGCGATAATTGAGGTGAATCATTTGAATCGCCTTGTTTGATGTGTTCGTCGCACAGTGACACGTTCGGGATTAAATTACAGCTGCTTTATTACTCATTCTGTACATTATTCGGGTTGGTGGATCAGCAAGGTTTGAATTATTGTACGACTCATATTCTGTCCATATACATCTCAGCTTGCATCCTGCAGCCCTTCCAATGTGCTGACTTATACGGCAGGGCTTATGCTAATTAGCGGTTCTTCGACTATGCCTCAGCTGCTTGTAAATGTTATGAGTTGATAAAAGTTTTATTAAGCTCTTGATTCCCTATAGTCTCCTCAGCCACTGAAGGAAACAAAAAAAAAAAAAAAACAGTCTGGTAAAAACATGCATCATAATACTGGCATGTCAGGATAATTAACCAGAATTAAATATTTAT